TTCACTTACAAAACTTCAACATCAAAGCTTCACCCCAAAAAAAAAAAAAAAAAAAAAAAAAAAAAAAAGATGAGCCTAGGCCTTCCTTTCTTTGGGCCTAAACAACTTTCATACCAAATATATATGAATGAAGAGTTTTGGGCAACCACTTAGAAAGGAAAATGGTGAAGTTTTGTTAGGAAAAGTGCCTACTAGCAAAACACCTCCCTCGACCGGAGACTTGGGGGACTCCTACCATATACCACTACACCTTGGTACTCAGAAATTTCGCGACTACTCAGTGCCTTGGATTTTTCAAGTTCCCAACCGAGAAGTTTTCCTCACTCAAGAAATTAAGGGAGCATTACTTCAACCCACATGGTCCACCCACGAAGTTTCAACATGCAAACTTCAACAAAATAAAAAATTCAAAGAACTTAGTGAAGGATACCTTAGTGTATTTAACACAACACGTTGAATGAAGTAAAGCTTATTTATTGATATCTTCGATAAATTACAAATACGTGCATACACATGAATCAAAACAAACAAACAGCAGGGCGCCTTCACAAAGGCTGCTCAGGAGAAGTCTCAATACTCGGCAAAGCCCCATAAATAGGAGGCACCGAAGGGTGATTATTTGGAGCCTCAGTGCTGGGCAGAACCCTAGAAAGAGGAGGCACTAGAGGTTGATCATTTGGAGTTTCAGTATGTGGTACAGCCCCAGAGGACGAAGGCAATAAATGCCTTTCGAACAAACTCACAAACCTCTGATGATCATTTAAAATCTGACCCTCGGATTCCTGTAACTGGTCAAGCTTTCTCTTCATGGTTGTAGCATAGCTATGTGCAAGGATGTGCAATTGTTTATTCTCGTGCTTAAGCCCTCTGATCTCCTGTTTGAGACTTATCACTTCAGCTGCAAATGATTCAACTTGGCGAGTTCGAGCAAATAGGCGTTGGGCCATATTAGACACAGAACCTACACACTGAACACTGAAAGCCAGAGAATCCTTAACAGCCAACTCATCGGATCGTTTGGAAAGTAGTCTGTTGTCTTTGGGAGTGAGAAGATTCTTGGCCACCACCGCAGCGATCATATCATTCTTCATCACAGAGTTCCCAACAGTAAAGGGACTAATAGGAGATAAGAAGGATGGGCGCTATATGTTATCCTAATGAGACATGGCTACCTTTCCTACAACATTCAAGTCTAAACGACGGTCGGACGGGCCATACATTCTTAGAAAAGATGAAGAAAAAAATGAAGTACAGTAAGTCTCAGAAGTACGAAGATAAGGGAAAAATTCCTACAAGCAATAACTTTCAGAACGGACTCCTTGAACTTAATTGGTGCTCTTATAAAAGAAAGAGCCATATCTTCAATAGGGCTGTTTGTTCAAAAATCGAAGAGGCACCACTCTCCAAATTTCGAGAAGCGGATTTCCTGGGTTAAAATTTATTAGCAATCTTCACACGCGACATCAGTTCCTCGGATACCAAGGACAACTGTGCCAAAGAACTCTGACAAAGTTAAAACAGGTAAATGTTGAAGGCCCAGTTACCCTACTATTACCCACAAGGATAAAGGAATAACACCACTGCTTGATTATTGGAAAATCTTTATATGTGTCAACCTCTGTGCTCCATGGCAAAGCAGACTTGCAAAAAATGCCCAACCTTTCTTCACATCTTAGAAAACACTCCCAATAAGATTGCTTGCCCATAAATTGAAGAGGCACCGCTCTCCAAATCTCGAGAACTATATCCCCAATAAGATTGCCTGCTCAGAAATCGAAGAGGCATCGCTCCCTGAACTTCGAGAAGTCAGATTTCATTGAATAAAATTTGTCCACAATCCTCACACGCAACATCAGCTTTCTGGATACCACAGACCACTTTTTCAAAGTGCTCTAACAAAGTTAAAACACGTGAATCTTGCAGCGACCACTACATTGCTTTGACCACTCGCTGTTAGGACAATTCCTATATATGTTGACCTCTATCCTCCACAGCCAGGCAGACCTGCCAAATAAAAAAAATGCTCAACCTTTCTTCACATCCGAAATGGCACTCCTAATCTAGCTTCTCGAAATACTCCGTTTTCTTCTCCTTCGATAATACCCATGCCGACCAGCCATATCAGAGCAAGAATATCTCATATCATCAGGGTTGAAAGCAAGAGTATCCCATATCATGCTTTTTCCCTGTCTTTTCCTTTGCCCTTGCTCTTACCTTTAGGACAAGGAGAAAGAATGCAATCAGTCGGAATCTGAAATCAAACTTCCGATCTAGAACTGATTGCCCGGAACCTTTGCCTGGTCGTTTGCCTAGCATTGCTATCGCGTACTCATCCTCAACTGTTGTCAAGGTTATGAATTCCTTCGGCAAATATCTCAGAACAGTTGGTTCGATATTGGCTTTTTATACTGAAGCTGCCAAGCATGGATGAGTCACTGAGAAGTAGTGCTATGAAGGACTATTTAAATGCAAAGGTTGCGCACCATTTCTGCTATACACAAGATTGAAGCAGAAGGTTCAACGGCGAGCTAGAACAGATCACTACAGCACGATGCCCTTTCTTGTGGAACCGCACAATCCAGACGAAAGAGTTTAAGTCAAATCCAAGCTCGGCATCATTGCTCTAATTGAAGAGATCAAGAAGCCTCAACAGCCTTTTGTTAGCACCGTCATCGAAGAACAAAGCTTCGCCATACCACATTTATTACTTTGTCAAACAGCAAAAGTATTCCATATCATCAGGATCGAACATACTCCAAGTCTGACAGACTTGTTTTGACCCTCAAATTCTGGAGTCAGCTCGCTCCTTTGGAGGAAACCAGAAAACCCTCCAGCCCAGTTCAAGAATACACATGTGGAAAGTCAAGTACAACAAAGCACGTGTCGATTCGTCCGTCTTCTCCAAAAACAAGAGTACCGCATATCATTTCTTCTCCTTGTTTCTTCTCTTTATCCTTATTGTTGAATGAGAGACAAGGAGAATGAGTACAATTAGACAGAACCCAAGATCAACCTACCGATCTGAGACTGATTGCTTAGAACCTTGATTGCTTACCTTATCTGTCACCTTATTCGGCAGATCTTCTCGCTTAGAGACTTGGGGGACTCCTACTATATGGTTTATATCGCACTTGACCAAACCTGAAACTACAAGTAAGCTTCAAATGAAAATGATGCATTACTTTGTGCGTCAACGCCAACCAAAGATACCACTCCTGGATGAAGGAAAAGTACTTCCAAGAGAAGATGTCACATCTACTTACAAGACAGAGAAGGCAAGTGAAGGTGACACCACACTTCGGTACTTGGAGTTTCGTGATTACTTAATGGCTTGGATCTTGCAAGTCCCCAACCGAGGAGCTTCCCTCACTCGAGAACTTAGGGGAGCACTGTTTGTACCATACTTGACCAATCCCGAAACTACTAAGCACCGGTCAACAGCATACCGTCAAGGACCCATAAGACTTTTCCTCCAACCAGGAGGCCAATCACAACACGACACATGTCGGTATCAGAGGCCAATCACAGCGCAACACGTGTCGATATCAGAGGCCAATCACAATACGACACGTGTCGATGTCAGAACAAAGCTAGAAACTCTCTTCTATAAAAGGGGATCATTCTCCCATAATAATCCTTAAATTTCATTTGTACTAAACTATTCACTAGAACTCACTAAAGGAGAGCTTGAACCTATGTATTTGTGTAAACCCTTCACAACTAATGAGAACTCCTCTACTCCGTGGACGTAGCCAATCTGGGTGAACCATGTACATTTTGTGTTGTTTGCTTCTCTATCTTTATTCATTTACATACTTATGCACACTAATGACCAGAGCAACCTAGCGAATGTCACAAACTTAACACTTTCTGTTGTACCAAAGTCCTCGGCGATTTTATGCATCAACACATGCTATACTGAACTTGTTTTGGAATACCATATTTTCTATTAAACCCATGTTCTTGTAGGGTATTTGATGGATGATGATATACTATTTATAACATGTTTTTACACACTTCTTTATAGTATAAATGATGGATGACTTTATACTATAAAGATGATTTTGAGATATATGTACCTATGTTTGGAAAGATTATGTTCAATGTTTTGTGCGTATTTAGTGGTCATATATTGACCTTCGGGTTGGGTGCTGTAGGAGCCTTCAAGCAATTGATACTTATATTGACCTTCGGGTTTAGGTGCTATAGGAGCCTGCAGACGATTAATATTTATAAAGGAAGTTTCTGAAGGAAGAGTTCTTTATGCCTTCGGGCAACACTGATACCACTAGTTAGCACACATTACGAGATATACTTATGAGATGTTTTATGGCATGATAGTGTTTTCGAAAAAACCTATTATATATTATGCTATTAGTTTTCATAAAACTCTGGGGGTTAGTACGTTGATAACTGTTTCAGTATTATATATATATATATATATAACAACTTGGTCCACTTATGTTTGTTTTGCGCCTCCTCAGGATTTAGATTCGAGGCTTACGATCCTGGCGTCGAGGCACTTCTGCATTTGCATCTTCGAGTCCTCTCGGTGTAGGACCCATTTTTTTTATTTTTTCAATTTTATATTATTTCTTTTAGTGTTCTAGTTAGTTGTATGCTTTGAACACGTTCCTCATTCATATATTAATTATATTTAAATTTGTAAGTCTTATTTATTCTTGTTCTAATGCATTCAATAAATGGCTTTCGTCACCCTCGGGTGTCGGCCAACACGTGCCTATTCTAGTGTTCGAGGAACATCGGGATCGGGGTGTGTCATAAAAGCAAGCACCGTTCTGTTGGATGGCAAAATGAAACCCAAAATTTCAGACTCTGGGGTGGCAAAAATTTTCGGGATGGATCAAACTTAGGCAACTACAAACAAGGTTGTTGGGACATAGTAAGTTACAATATTTCCTTCATATATAATTGTAAACCTTATGTAGTCCTTATTTCCTTCATATATAATTGTAAGTTACATAGTAAGTTACATAGTAAGTTACAATATTTCCTTCATATATAATTGTAAACCATTTATGTAGCGGTTATATGTCGCCTGAATATGCCCTCTATGGCCATTTTTAAGAAAAAATGGATGTGTTTAGTTTTGGTGTATTACTCCTAGAGATTGTGAGGGGAAAGCGAAATTCTACTTTTCATCGTTTTGAAGATCGACTTACACTTGTTGAATGGGTAAGTACTAGAAATCCTAGTTTATATATATCTCTCTGTCTCTTTCTGATGAGTTTATATACATGTTATTTCCCTTAGGCGTGGAAGTTATGGAATGAAGGAAGAGGAATCGAGGTTATTGATGAATTGTTACGGAAAAAGTGCCAGCTTGATGAAGCATTGAGGTGTATCCATGTAGGGTATTTGTGTGTTCAAGAAGCTCCAGCTGATTTACCAGCAATGTCTTCGGTAATTCGTATGCTACAGAGCAATGAAGCTACATCACTTCCACCCTCCAAAGAAGCTGTTTTCTCAATACATAGGGGTGCCGGTGCTGTTGGTTGTTCTTCTCAAACACCTGCCAATTTTTCAAACAATGAACTCACTGTTAGTTTGCCATAAGGTCAATAGAGGTTCATATTTTTGTGAACGTCAAAATTAAATATGTAAACCTCAAGAATAAGACTATGACATTCAACTCTTCCTTTCCATATCAGAACAGTAGATCCTTGATTTTGTTATAATGTATATCTATTTAAAATAGAGACAAGAAGATTTTTGGGATAAATTAGAGTATCAAACTGATGCAAATACCAACAAGATTGTTGGCACACGGTAAGTGTTATACTGCACATTTTTTTGTTATGTACTAAACCTTATGCAACAAAGATTTCGAAGCAGACAAAGGGAGGATTTGATTTTTCTGGCGAAAATGATCCATCATCAAATGGAAACGCTTATACCGTTGCTTACAAGTTTGAAGATGATGAGGAGTATGTTTCTTATGGTGTCTCATGTAGTTCAATAAAATTGAGGCTTAAGGTGAATCCAACTGGGCGGATTGATCTACTTAAGTGGACAGATCACATAGTACATGGTTTTTAGGGTGGAGCATGCCTATTAGTCGATGTGATTTTTATGCTCCTTGCGGTCCAAATGGTGCCTACAATACAGGAAAAATGAACCTCTTCCACCAAAATATTATATAATATATGTAATTATATATAGTTTATACTAAAAATCTCAAGTCTCGTGAGGCTTCACCTCATGCCTCAAGGCTTTCACCTAGGGGGCTGTTAAACCCCGTCTAGATTTCCCTTCCTTTTCACGCTACCACGTGGCATCCTCCTAACTCACTTATCCCTCTCTCTCTCTTTTCCCGAGTCTCTCTCGGATCTCTCATTCTCTCAGCTCAACTTTTACTCTCTCTCAAACCTCTCCCTCTCACTCCCTTTCTTAATCGAACCCACACACCCACGCACACCCAAGAGGCACCTTAACGGCGGCGCAACACCACCACCATCCTTAAGGACCTATCTTCCATCTCCCTCAGTCTCTGTGGAACTCAGCGAGGTCTCGAACCCAGACTTCGGCAAGGTCAGTGGTTGTCAAACAAAGATCCGGCCATCCCCGACCATTTCACAACGAATCACAGGTATTAATCTCTTTTTCTCTTCCTATCATTCGTTTTGGTACTTAGATTAGAGTCTAGGGTGATGTTTTGCTGTTGACCTGAGTAACAGAGGCTCCGGTTTCCTTCCCCGGTGAGAAACCAACCCAGGCCTTTAGGGCCGTGTAACTTTGGGCTTTCAGGTCGGTGCACCCGAGCCCAAACCCTTTCGTGACTCAAACCCCAAACCTTTTAAAGTGGAGGTTGTTTAGGCTGTTTAGCAATTAGGTTTTAAGCCCTTTAGACCCAAACCCAAACCTTTTTATTTTATTTTTTTATTTATTTAAATCCCCAAAACCTAAAGGCTTTGGGCTGGGCTTTCAAGCCCAAGCCCTTACCCAGCGCCCTCGGCCCGTTAAACCCTAAACCCTAGGCCGTTGAGCCAATCCACTTGGGCCTCAGGCCCGTTAGCTTCAAGCCCAACCTAGTCCAACCCTAAGCCTTAAACTCAGTTGACCTGACCCAGTCTGACTATTGACCTGGTCAACGGTCGGCGTTGACTTTGACTTTGACCGGTCAACGATCATAGTTGATTTTTTGACTTTTTCGAGTTTTCGTCTAGGACCCCTGCTAGGCCAATTTTGACGCCCTGGACCCGTTTTTTAAGTCCGTTTTCTAAAATTCAATCGTTTGAATAGAATTTTGTTAGTTGTACCCTTTTTGTGCTTAGGTGCAATTAATAGTGGCGATCCTGTCATTCCTATTTCGTACGGCTCTACGATGACGGAGTATCTATGAGTGGACCCCTTCTAAATTGCATATTTTAGTAGTAGAAATCCATACATGAAAAACATGATTTAATGACTACGTTTTTTGAAACGTTTTATGACCTATTATGCTTACTTAGAATATTTTGAATTACCATATTTTATCGAACTCATGTTCTTTTGTAGTATAGATGATGGATGATTTTGTACTATGAAGTTGTTTTTGAGATATATGTACCTATGTTTAGAAAGACTATGTTCAATGGTTTTGTGCGTATCTAGTGGTCACTGTTTTGCCTATGGGCGATGATACTTATATTGCCTACTGGCGGGCGTGAGTAGAGCACTGTTATGTGCATATGGAAGATGATATTTATATTTCCTTCGGGCGGGCGTGTTTAGGGCATTGTTCTATATGCAGAAGAGACATACTGATACCACTAGTTAGCACACTATATATGAGATATGTTTTATGAAAGGTTTTATGGCATGCTAGGGTTTTCAAAAAGCCTATTACATATTATGCTATTGAGTTTTCATAAAACTTTGGGGGTTAGTATGATAACCGTTTTAGTATTTTATATATATATATATATATATCAACTTGGTCTACTCATATTTTTTTTGCACCTCTTCAGGAGTTAGAATCGAGGCGTACAATCCCGGCGTTAAGGAACTTCCGCATCGACATCTTTGAGTCCTCTTGGTGTAGGACCCATTCCTTGTTCATCCTATTTTATATTGTCTCTTTTACTGTTCTAATTAGTTGTATATTCTGAACACGTTTTTCAATTGCATGTTAATTCATTATATTTAAATTTATAAGTCTCATTTATTTCTTGTTCTCAGCATTTGCATTCAATAAATGGCTTTCGTCACCCTAGGGTGTCGGCCAGCACGTGACCATTCCGATGTCTCATGGACATCGGGATCAGGGCATGTCAAGGGCTATCTGTAGAACGCCTTACCTACTCCTTTGCCTTTTAATACATTGGTGATAACCAAGGTTGCCCGCCAACTGTTTGCTTTTATAAACTTTTCCTAAACTGTTCTCTCGTTTTAACATGTTGTTGCAGCAGCTGTAAGCAGCGCTTGATTGCTTGGCCTCCTAAACATGCCTCTTCGAGCAACGTTTCAACAAAAACTCCCGTTCGTCGCGGTGGTTATTCAAGTTGCAGTGCATCTGAGGTACATGTCCAATGTTTGTTTCTTTTACATTGAACTGTTGAGGTATGCTAGCTAGGCTCAGCATAGCCTTTACGTTGGCAAAAAATATAAAATACCCACAATATTGGGCTGCCCACTGACACAGAGTGCGATTCTAAGATTTAGTTTTAGTGGTGTCACTGTCCAATAAACATTTGTCACGTGCTTAAAAAATGCACTATTTATACAATTGACACATGATAAATCAGAGGCGTGAGAGTATCTCTTGATTGAGTGGGTAGGTATTAGGTATAGTTGATGCTTTTTGTGCCACATTGGATGGTCGAGTATCTCTTGATTGAGTGGGTAGGTAGTTGGTATAGTTGATGCTTTTTGTGCCACATTGGACGGTGACCATACTCACTTACAACTTTAGTGGCTGGCTGGGCCAATATGGGATCATGAGAAAGTATACGGTGGATTCACATTATCTTTATTAAATTGCTGTCGCTACCAAAATTTGGACTTAAATATTTGATGAAATTAAGTTTCTTTAGAACACTTGATGCTTAATCGCAAAAGGGTGTGCACTTCACTAGTTGTGGTGACAAACTATTGCTGATTACTTCTTCTTCTTCTTCCTCCTCTGTCTCTCTGTATCTGAATGGGGTGGCTCCTTCTTTGTGTGTTTATGTTTCTCCTATCTGTTTGTACAAGCCTAGACAACTTAGTACCAGAAAAATCTCTCGACGGAGACCAGACCTTGATTTCTTCCAGTGGAACATTTGCATTAGGCTTCTTCAGTACTGAAAAATCTAAGAAATTCTTCCTTGGAATATGGTACAACAAAATCCCAAAGAACCCGAAAGTATGGGTTGCCAACAGAGGATCACCACTTGATTCACCGGGTGTTTTGATGCTTAGCGCTGATGGAAATCTTGTGATGTTAGATGGGATGACTAGAAAACAAGTTGTCTGGTCGTCTAATGCGTCAATACCAGCTTCTGAAATGAATTCCACAACTGCTGTATTGATGGATAGTGGAAACCTTCAACTAATATTTGAACAAGACATTTTGTGGCAGAGCTTCGATCATCCCTCTGACACATTGCTGCCTAGTATGAAGCTTAGCCTGAACAAAATAACAGGCCAACAATCGCGTCTTACTTCTTGGGCAGCACTTGATGATCCACAACCCGGAATGTTCAGCGCAGGCATTGATCTCAAAGTTCCCCTGCAGCTAATTATTTGGAAGGGAAATGCTACATATTGGAGAAGTGCTGTTCACTTTGGCGAGGTTAAAAGATACTTTAGAAATCAAAGTGGCGGGTTCGTTTCTTACAATTTCGATGCTAATGAGATTGATCTTACTTTTGGTGTGTCAGATAGCTCTGTAAAACCGAGGGTCGTCTTGAGCCCAACAGGTGAGTTAAATCTGCAGCTGTGGACTGAATCTGATACAATTAAGAGATGGTTTAAAGCATGGGAAGAACCTATTTATAAATGTGATTTTTATGCTGCATGCGGTCCATATGGAGCCTGTGATAAAAACAGTGATCCCCTCTCGTCACAATGCAAGTGTTTGAAAGGTTTTAGGACCGAATTACATAAACAATCGGCTCAGGGGGACTGGCCCGGTGGTTGTGTTCGGGAAAAGGCATTGACATGTGATAAAGGGGAAGGGTTTGAAAAGTTCGAGAAAATGAAACTGCCGGATCATGCTATTATTTTAGGAAATATGAGTACAAGTGAGTGTGAATCTGAATGCCTACGGAACTGCTCTTGCACAGCTTATGCCTATTCAAATGTGATAGAAGGAGGTACTGTAAAATGCTTGACATGGCTTGATGACTTGACGGATCTTGTAGAGAATCATTGGCTTGGGCAAACCATATATATTCGTGTTCATCGCTCTGATCAAGGTATGTTCGTTTTGTTTCTTTCGTTGTTTTCTGTGTCAATTTATATTCTTAGCAGACGAGACAACAAAATTTAGCCAGAAAATGATCATTAGTTGGAGCCTTTTTTGTTAGTTGCAGGCGGCAAGGGTCATGTTGATAAGCTGTCCCTTGTAATCCCAATTGTCTCAACAACAGCAGGATTGCTTACAATAATTTTTGGCTATTTATTGTGGAAGAAAACATTGAGAAATGAAGGTAGTACTACCACAATGCCACCGTCTCTCT